ACACACACACACACACACACACACACACACACACACACACACACACACACACACACACACACACACACACACACACACACACACACACACATTCCTAGCCTCAGGCTGTGCTTCTTGTTATTTGAGGATCAGTGTTTCTTGGCTGTGTCTCTGCCTCATCCACAACAACATACCTGCAGAGATCAAGATTTATTATTCAAACACTTCAGCTGAATTCCATGACATGTCTCTGGATCACATACGAACCCGTGAAGCTGTGTGATATTCATATGTTAGAAGCTTTTTCACTAATATTCATGAAACGTATCAATAAGAGCAGAGTCAGATGAAGTCGACTGATTTAACCACAAACTAAGAGAAAGGATGAAACGAGACGCTGGAGTCAGACAGAGGAGGAAGAAACAGGGGGAGTGTGTGTGACTTATATAAATTAATTATATTGTTGAGGCAAGAAAGACAAGATGGAGCCTGTGTGTGTGTCTGTGTGTCTGTGTGTCTGTGTGTCTGTGTGAGAATTTACAGATAAGTGTAGGTCTCTCATGAAAAGTGGAAGTGAGCAGTGTGTGATTATTTTAATAACATGTGTGTCGCTGTGACTGATGTATATGTGGATTCTACAAGTACATAAGCAGGTGTGTGTGTGTGTGTGTGTGTGTGTGGGTGTGGGTGTGTGTGCGTGTGCGTGTGTGTGTGTGTGTGTGTGTGTGTGTGTGTGTGTGTGTGTGTGCGTGCAGTTGATCACACACTCGCTCAGACTTGTCGTCTCTAAGCCTGTGATGCAGCTCGTTCCGTGTTGTTGCAAATGACTGATCTGGGACCTTGGGAGTGAAGGAGGGATGTAGACGGAGGTGTGGGAGACGGTCGGAGAGTGTGATGTAGAGCGGAGGCTGATTAGCTGCTGACGGGAGGTGTGACCCTGTGACCCCTGACGTCCTGCGGGACGTTTAAACTGTGTGTGATTGACAGTCGTTAGTGTTTTCAGATGTTAACGTGGGAGTGAGCGTCTCAGCGGGTCGTGTACAAATATTTGTAAAACATTGAAGTACGATAAAGAGGAATAGATACTGTTGTTTTTATCTGACACTTCACTTCTTGTTTTCTCTGTTTCATTTGCTTTGGTTTTCTCAGTTTCCTCACCAACAATATTAAATCTGCGCTGGAGGAGAAGGATCACTTCATCCGTTTTAGACTTGGTGGATTTGATCCAGAGAAGAACTCATTACTTTCTGGTTTGGATCCAGGAAGTGGTTTTTACTTCGTTTGAAGGTTCTTCTCATGAATGATGATGAAACCAGAGGACTGAGATTAATTATTATTATTATTATTGAGTGTGTGATGTGGTTGATTTAATGGGCCTGGTGAGCGTTAGTCAAACATCTAATTAGAACAATAGCAAATTCTGAATCATCGCGAATAATATGAAAACATAAAACCAGATTAATCGGACTAATTTCTTTTTGTGTGAACTTGTTTAGAAAAAGAATCTGACTCAGAGGCTGTTTGTTGTTTGTAGTTGAAAACTTGAAGGTCTGAGTTTTCAGGCGTTCGTTGCGTTTCTCTGCAGACCTGCTACAACACCTGCTGGATCTCACAACGTCAGATACAGTCCAGGGTGATGTGAGGTTTCAGATCAGACTCCAGCTCGCAGCTCCACATTCCTTCTCTCTGACACAGACCAGACTGAGAATCTCCTGATGAGACCAGGAGGGATTTATTTTAAATTCCTTGTCCCGATCGTTCCCATCAGTCAAACACCTGCAGGCACGATGCACGGACCAGTTACTCCGTACATGTATATATTACACACACGCACATGTATGTAACTCACATCGCATGAGTCAAGTGACGTGGTTATTTAAGAATTCTTCTTCTTGAGAAACCACAAACCTCTGACTGTTTAAAATACCTGAACCACACATTTAAATCCTGTTTGAATTCCAGTTTCCAGACAGGGATTAGATGTGATGAGCATTTTAAATGGTTTGAAAGATTCCACTCAAACTAATTACTTTTCCCATCGAGGTTAATCATTGTTTTATCTGTGAGTCACAAATTACAAGCTCAGTCTCAGTAGAGGTGAAAAACAGTTTTCTTTCCCTCTGTTGAAATGAGACTCTGCTCGTCTTCAGGATGAAGAGTTTGATTTGTGTTATATCTTATTACTGTTGAACCTTTGGAGCAGACGAAGGGGACGTTTGACCCTGAGCCATGAAATGATTTAGCCATGAAATGATTTACAGGTCATCAGTGACATTTCTAAATCCGCCCTGAACTCAGTGAAGCACCATGTGATCTGGTCCTCTGGTGTTCGAGCTCGTTCTGTACGAGCTGAAGGTGCGATGGTGATTTTTGTCTCAACCCTGAATACGATTAGTTTTAATTATAGAAATGAAATGAAGGAGAAACACAGAGAGTCAGTTTTCTGACTGTAGTGAAGAGATGATGGTTCCTTCAGCTCCGACAGCAGCTCAGCTCCGCCTCGACGGCTCCTTCCTCCGTTTCTTTAGTTATTGTTCCAACACCTCAGTGACACACACACACACACACACACACACACACACCAGCTGTGCTAATTGTTCAGCCAGATGTGGCCTCAGCTCTCTGGGCTCTGAACCTGACCTGGAGGTGACGCAGCAATGTGAACAGAACAAACTGCAGCAGCCACATGTGAACTTTATTAACACGTTGATCATCGACACCTCATCGTCAGCTGACCTGTTTATTTACATGTTTCTGGTTGAGCAGCGAGCTTCAAGACGTCAGGTGGAAGGAGGAGGTTGTGTTTCCACGTTTGATGGAGTTTGACTGAAGACGAGCTGAAGAAGAACTCGTTCACTTCAGGAGCAGATCAAATAAGAATCTTATTTTCATGTAGTTTCTGTTGTGATGGACGTCGTCTGTCATCAGACCTCAGGTCGATGAGTCCAGGACGCTGCTGCTACAGAACCCTGGTTGACAAATTTACCGAGAGGCAACAGAACGGACGACTGCAGCGTTGTGATTGTGACTTTGTGTTAATGTGTGAGTTAACAGGCCTCCACACACTCGTTACTTATTAAAGCTCCGCGTTATCAACACCACGTCATCGACTGAGTCAGAGTCAGTGGATCAGAGTCAACAGACTGAAGAGGTGTTTTATTCTGAAATCCATCGAATCCCACGGTAAACCAGAGTGAAACCAGATATGATCCTGATTCATGTGTATTTAGTTAAAGCACCATTCATTCCCGTGGCAGAGTGAACGCAGTATAAACATGTACCTGCTCTCACACTGAGGAGACGTTCAATCACAACTCATGAAATGTGAACTGCACAGTCGCTAAAATACCTCGGTGTCATTTTCACTCATTGTGGTTCGGAAGATATTTGTGCAGAAACGTAGAATTAGTTTTAACCTGCACGAAGCAGGTTGTTGGATTTTATACAGTTTGTCGTTTCAGCATCATTTTCATCTCAACTCTGCACATCGTGTATATTTGTCTTGATGGAAGCAGCGTGTGAGGAAACGAGGATTTATATCATCTCAGTGTTTTGAAATCGAATCACATTCACGACTGAGACGGTCTGTGTGTTGGAAATGACACGTCGAGGGGAGAAGGAGCGTGTGAGCGAACACATGCAAGCTGACGTGAAAGTACAGACACGTCTCCTAACTGCAGAGATATTACAAACACTCGTCGAACCCCGTCTGCAGCGTCCGTCTGCTCCGACACGGACAGAGGACGGGAGGCTCAATCTAAACACACCTGACAGCGTGCACGAGGCCCGACGCTGCCGTCACGACGAGACACAGACTCCGGACACAGGCGTGATTTACTGTCGTGTCTGTGTCCAGAGTAACAGCAGATCTCAAATCTAACACACATTTAACTGCACAGTAAAATCTGATCATTTCTATCTTCACCACATTGGAAAATAATTGTGCTTGTGTGTGTGTGTGTGTGTGTGTGTGTGTGTGTGTGTGTGTGTGTGTGTGTGTGTGTGTGTGTGTGTG